CCCCAAAACCCCAAAACCCCAAAACCCCAGTAAAGAAATAAAAAACAGACAATCTAATTTATTTAAAGAAAGTTAAATTCAAAATTAGTTTAGTAATGATATTTTAATACACCTTAATAAAAGAAATCCTTATAATACTTGATATCAAATGAAGAAAATTATTTTCTCAGTCATTGGACTTGCAGCTACTTTCGCTAATGCGTAAATTATAATGGAGCCTCCCACTACTTCAGGCAGAGATGTAGCCTTGATAATGGTTCAAGGTCCAGGTTATCCTGCAGATGGCTATATTCCCGTCATCTAGTAGATTTAGCAATTTGCCTCTCAAAATGGTATTAATCTTTTCGCTTCAGTTCCAACATTCCCAGACAACAAAGCTGATGCTGGTAATATAATAACTGAATTCAAGAAATCAATGGATGGCTTAAAGTCAAAAGGCTTTACTGGAAATGATGTGTTCTTGGCAGGACACAGCGATGGGGGTGCTATTGCCCTAGATTATGCTATCAAGGGTACATAAGTTTTAAGAGGTGTGATCCTTGAGGGAAGTATAATGAAAAGAGACCAAAGATCTATTGAGTCTAATGGATTCACAAAATTTTCTCACAGCGTACCTACACTTACTCTCTGTGGAGAATTAGATGGAATAATGAGAATTTCTAGATGCGCCGAGTCTCATTGGCACTAAACTGAGAATATTGATTAATCTCAAAAAGATTTATTCCCAGTTGTTGCATTAAAGGGTCTCTCTCACTGGAGATTCTCTAGTGGAGCCATTCCAGACACAATTAAGCAAAATGATCTTAGAGCAGAAATTGAGGAAAAAGATGCTCATACTCAAATAGCCTAATCATTCGTTGGCTTCTTTGGTCAGATTCTTAAAATACAGAGTGCCTCTCAATTAATGGCTAATACCTAATAAGTCGACCTTAAGCCATTAGTCAATGCAATGGTGATGGAAGGAAGCTTCTATATGAAAAAAATGTGCAACAGTGGAACAACAGTTAACGTTGAAGCCCCAGATTGCTTAAAAGGCTCCCCTTATATCAATTAATTCAGCAGCCTCTAAATGGCCGGTGAAATCTTAAATAAAAACATCAAGGTCGTAAATGATGATAACTTCCATATTGCCTCAACATTGATACCTTACCATCACCCATCTATAAATAGTACTTGTGATGGAGATACTCAGGTTGAATGTAAAGTTAATACCATCTCAACTACAGAGAATATCTATGAGTCAACAGAAGATAATGGAAAGCATGCAGTTGGAGCAACAGAAATGAAAACTAAATTTAAGTCAAGAGAAGCTATTCAATTAGCTGCAGGAAACAAGAAAGCAGATTTCCATGAAATGGATGAAGTGACAGACAGGTGTGGGGAAATTAATAAGGATGTCATTCAATGGGCCTATGATCATTCAAGCGATGAAGCCAAGAAAAGATATGACAGCTATGGTGAGAAGTTAGTTGTAGGAGCTGACTTAGGCCCATACAACGACGGTCCATCTTGGATTTGGAGATCACTTCAGTATAATGAAAATAAGGAGAAGACTCAAGTATCTGTTCAATCTCCAGCAATGAAATTCAAGGCTGACTTTTTCCTTGAATTTTCTGCTGGTATTCATTACTGTAAAGTCCTTTCCCCATTTAGAGCTATGGAATGGATTTACTTTGATAGCTTAAAAGGCCATTATATGCCATAAACTTAAGTCTATGAAGCCTTCTTGCAATGACTAGATAATCAAATATCTAGAGAATAATGCTGAATTGATGAATGTGTCAACAGCATCCATCATAAGTTTAATCCTGATTTAAAAAGTAAATATCATTCAGAATCATTTAAATCTTATTAACTGGGGTTTTGGGGTTTTGGGGTTTTGGGGTTTGGGGTTTTGGGGTTTTGGGG